TTTCTGAGGCCACCAGCGGCGGCACAATGCGAACCGAGTGGTGTTCTTAGCAAAGCGCATGTGATCATGTCTGGTTCCTCTTCCCTGTCCCCCCCCCCTCTCCTCCAATTCGTCTTGTGGCGTGGAACGCTCGTGCATAGTTCCATCGCAAGGACGAGGTACGGTCTCAGAAATTACGTTACCTCCGCCGTCTCCTGAACGTTGGATCGATTGTCTCGATTCAAGAGACCCATGGACGCCAGCATCATGTAGACGACCTCTTACACCAGAATAATATGCCCTTCTCCTCGGAGTTGCCCCCTTACCCCAATCCCAATGCTGGCGGGGTTTTGACGTTGATCCCCATATCTTCCTTCTGAGGGCAGGCTGAAGAGCACAGGTTCCCCCTTCCCTCTAGTCGACTCTGTTCCTCTGGTCCATGGGCGCGTTCTTCATGCCAAAATCTCTGGGGCCGACGGCCCCTCCTGGGTCTCGCACTACAACGTTCACAACTTCGGCCTGTCCTCCGACCAGCGTCGCACGCTCTTGGACCATCCCGAGGGCGAGTTGGTCCGACCCCATCCCCCTACCGCTCCCCTGGAACACTGTCTTGGGACGGATGGTGGAGTTCCAGCTGGTGGCCCCTACCCACTACAACTCGGCGCGAAACAATTTGACTCATATGGATCAATTGTTTTGTTCGGCCCCTGGTTGGGTCTTGTCCCAACATGCGTCCGGGGGAGAAGTTGTTGACCGTCCTGAGGTCCTTCATGTGCCCCAGGTCTCGGATCGCGCGGCTGCGTCAGCCACCGTCCAGGTCCGCCCTCCGCTTCCGCTTGCTGAGCGACCCGCCCCGCGCGAGATTTACCAGAGCGCAGTGCCCCAAAGCTTCCCCCGCAAGGCGTGCGACGCTGAACCGATTGAGCACCTCTCTCCTCGTCTTCTGCCCGACTAGTACAAGGGCCTGATTAACGCCGCGTCGAAGTATGTTAGAGATATGATCATGTTCAAACGCCCTAACATAACAGTGTGCTCGCACGTCACCTCATGGTTCGTGGGATGGCTCGGGCTGTTGTCCGTCGCGACTGGGGGCTAGCTCGTCTCCTTCATAGATCGCATCCTCGGCGCCGCCGTCATCTTGTCCTGGGCCCTCATGCCCGCGCAGTTGGCATAAGAGATGCTGCCCAGTTCACGGTTTTTTCCAATGAGTTGCACTGGAAGGTCGCGCAGTCAGCCCAGGCAACGCCAGGCCGAGTCGCAGGCGGTGCTGAATCCAAGCCAGAAGCTTCGCGTTCGGCTTCGTGCTGCCCGCCGGCGCGCCACAGACAGATTGTGGGCCCCCTCTGGCGAAAGCACGGTCTTCGCGGGCAGGGTCGACGGCGCCGAGCGGCACCGAACCGAGCATGCGACCCCCGCCGCTGGTTCTTCTCATGGCACTGTGATCCGCACCCCTCCGGCATTTTGAATGCGCTCGCGCAGCATTGGCAGCCTGTTTCCAGCCTCAGCCGTTCGCCGAGTTTGACGCGCAGCGATTTCTGGATCAATTTGACCTTCGGCTTCTGGCTGATGTCTTGCCCCCGACAGTGTGCGAGACCTTCCGGGGGCACCTCGCCAGGTTGCCCCGCGGCGCCCCTGGCCCCGACGGGATCCCATACTGCGCTTGGCAGAGAGCCCCTCATGGCACCGAAATTCTTCATCGTGGCCCCCCATGGGCCCCCGCTGGGAATCAACTCCTGCACGAGTTTAACTTGGTCTTGGGGGTCTTTAGCCAGCCCGAAAGGAGAGGACATCGGTGATTGCCTGGGCCATGGCATTGTCACCAAGGCTGTGGATGCGCGCCCCCTGGGCCCCAAAAGCTGCAACAACGAGATATTGGCTGGATACTGCTGCCGGGCGCTTACGCGAACCCGTTCCAAGTGCACTGACCCCGCCCAGAACGGTTCCGTTCCGAATCGGCAGTTTGGCAACAAGATCGTCGCCCTTGACGGCATCGCGAGAGCATGCAGAATGCAGCCGACACCGTTGACGTCCACGCCCTGTCTCTTGGCCTACGATTGCGGACAAGCTTCCCCTTCCCTCTCGCGCGATTGGCTCTTCATGGTCCTGGGGCGCTCGGGGCCCCCGCCGCCTCTTCTCTGGTTCCTGAGATTTCTGTATATGGGCGTCATCTGCGTGGGCTCGATAGGTGGTCTCACCCAGGTGCTTTACCATATATGGAGTGGCATAATTCCAGGATGCTCCGCGAGCGGCGCTTCATTTGCATGGGGCATGGACCCCTTCATGCGCCTATTCCGCCCCCTGATCGAAGCCCCTGGCCATGGCGTTTCCGGGGCTTGCGCCGACGATGCGGGGGTCGTGCTGAAGCAACTTGAGCCTGCCGCGCATGTCTTTTTTTTCCTGAATGCCCGGCAGCTGGCCCACCTTGCCCCGGGAGTCCCAAAGCGCCAACTGGCCCCCCTGGCCGGCCCATTCGCCCCCGAGCATAAGGAAATCTACGCCCCTCGGCTTCAGGAACTTGCTCCAGCTTGGTCAAGTATTGCGGTTGTGGAGATGGTGAAATATCTCGGCATGTACCTGGGCCCCGCGGCGACCCCCGAAACATCCTGCCCCCCCCCCCCCCCCCCTCGGACAAATATTCATGGAGAGCCAAACGTCTCAGCAGAACTGGGGCCCCGATCTCTTCGATCTCATCTCTTTACTCTTCCAGGGCGTTGTCGGCGCTATCTTACGCCGGCCAATTTCAGCAGGTGCCCGGATCTCTTCGGCAGAAAGAGTGCAGCAAACTGGCTTCGGTTTTTCGCTTGCCCTTCTGCTGCTTCAGTCAGGACTCGCGGCGCAAACTCGCGGGATGGGGTGGTCCGAAGATCCAGAGCTCATGGGTACGGAATGCCGCGCAGATGCTGCGCGCCAGCCACTTCGCGTTCTCGGGTTGGGAAGAGATACATCACGAGCTGTACAGGATCTGCGGCGAAGCCTACTCTCTGGCGCGCGCTGTTCGCGGTTGTCCATGGCCAGAGTTTTGGAGGGCACCAGCTCTCGCATCGAATTTGGCGGATGCGCGCGCAGGCTTCCCATCTTGTCCTCGTCTTCTCCCGCATTGCCGTCTTGCTCTCTCTGCCCTTCGGGATCTTCAGCGAGCCCGCCCTCATCTTCACCCGAATGCTTCACACCCCCAACGCGCGCTTGATTGTGAACTCTTCCCTCGTGTCTCTCCTGGTAAACTTCTTCGGCGATTTCAAAAACGTTTCTTTCGTTGGTTCCCAGATTGAGCTGAAGTGATCCGCGGACTTGGTAGGTCTGCTCTGAAAGCGCTCCTCTCCTCTCTCCCCCCAGCTTGTTGTATTGTGTTTTTCGCTTTTGAAAACCTTCAGTGGTGGGTGAATGGCGTCTACTAGATTCCAAAAAGATCATCCATGTGTTTTCGGGTGTGCTTCCCCACATCGTTTTGCATGTATGGTGCTGCCCCCATATTATCTGCTTTCTCAGTAGCTGTGTCCAGCATCCCCGTCCGAATTGTTCGATTGTACGGCTCGGTTTCATTGCGCCGAATCGCGAATATGTTGTTGTTTGTGTTTTTTGCTTCCTGTCTCCACAATGCACTCCGGCCCCTCCCTGACCCCCCTTTCACAGAGCAGGCGCGTCTCTCTGTCGTGCCCACAGCGAGGCACCAAGTCCGCAGGCCAGCCGTAGTCGCTGGGCCAGGCGGCAGTCGGTCGAGCTGAAGGACATTGGTGGACTCTTCTCCGCTACGCTCGAGGGGGAGGAGGAGGAAGAGCGGAGAGGAGGAGGAGGAGGAGGAGGAAGAAGAAGAGGAGCAGGAGGAGGAGGAGGAGGAGGAGGAGGACGGGGAGGGGGAGGAGGAGGAGGAGGAGGAGGAGGAGGAGGAGGAGGAAGAGGAGGAGGAGGAGGAGAAGGAGGAGGAGGAGGAGGAGGAGGAGGAGGAGGAGGAGCAGGAGGAGGAGGAGGAGGAGGAGAAAAAAAATGTAATAATAATAATACTACTACTACTAATAATAATAATGGTAATAATAATACTAATACGACCACTACGCATACGAACAACACTAATAATAATAATACGAATAATAATAATAATAATAATAATAATAATATTACGAATAATAATAAGGGTAATAATAATAATAATGTTACTACTACTAATAATAATAATACTAATTATAATATTAATAATACTAATACTAATAATAATAATAATAATAATAATAATACTAATAATAATAATAATAATAATACTAATTATAATATTAATAATACTAATAATAATAACAATAATAATAATAGGAATAAGACAACTAATAATAATAATAATAATACGAATAATAATAGGAATAATGAGAAAAAGAAGAATAATAAGAATAAGAAGAAGAAGAATAAGAAGAATAAGAAGAAGAAGAAGAAGAAGAATAAGAAGAAGAAGAAGAAGAAGAAGA